TAATCAAGAAATTTTCATGACATTTGATTCTTAGTCATCTGTAAGTACAATAATCTCCAAAGGATTTGGCAATAATTTATTTTTTTTCTATTTCCAGACTTCTACGTAGACACAGATTTGCTTACAATAAAGCTAATTTTAAGAGTCCACAGAAGTTGAGCATGAGCATCAAGATTAAATCAGCCGTTGGGAGCAATTGGGGGAAGAGATGCTGAATAACCGCCTTCATCTGAAAACTGACCACCCGGGTGACGACCTGGAGTCCTCACAGCACCTGCTCAGTGTAGCAACTCAGTGGAATTTCTAATTGTACCCTGTTCTCTATTAAGAACAATTTATAGGGCTGGGGATGTAGTTCAGTGGTTCTACCGCCTGCCTCACAAGCTCAAGGACCCAAGTTCTGATCCCCGGTACCAAAAAAAAAAAAAGAACAATTTATGTAGCTAAGTGGTCTTTATAGGCAATCTGTATCCATCTAGATTGAACATCTACAATAGTGTAAATATAAGACCACAATATTTCTTTTGGGAAAACCCCTTAAAGTGGGGTGGTTTTTTTGGTCTTTTGGTTTTTTTGAGACAGGGTCTCACTATGTAGTTGAGATTAACCTGGAACTCACTATGAAGCCCAGGCTGGTCTCGAACTCACAGAGATCCTCCTGCCTCAGCCTCCCGAGTGTTGGGATTACAGGCGTGCGCCACCACGCCCGGCCAAAGTGAGGATTTTAATATCACTGCTATTCATTCTTTGAAATGTAGTGTGTTTCACCTGAATTAAGGTTACATATTTTTAAATACTACATACACCATGACTAGTATATTAAAGTGATTTTACTATTTATATCTAATATCCAAAGAAGATGTACTGCCAGATTCTTACAGGAAATATAGTCTGCGTGCTTATTAATTGAGCCTGTAGGTATAATGATGGATCAGCAGGCTTTGGGTGTCTGTTCTTTCACGTTGTCCATCAGGAACGCAGCAGGTACAGAAAAAACAAGCAGTACAGCCACACGTCAGCTGTCACAAGCTCAGATACAAGCCTCCCAAGGGGAACAAGGCCAGATCCAACTTCTCATCTAAAAGTGCTGGTGGAGGCGGTCAGATGCCTCCTGAGGCAGAGCCCAATCCAGGTCCCAGTACACGAGACAACAGCAGAGACAGAAGAGAAACTTCTAGAAACTCTGCTGAGAAAATGCCCCCGTTTCTCATACCGAGAGGAGCTGTGCCTTTGGGTGTTTAAGGAGGAACTAACTAGGGTTGTTATGTTCTGGCCGACTGGACCAATCCCGTGTCCAATCTGAGTTTGTCTCCAAGATGCTTTCACCTTCTTCCCTTCCCTCCTGATAACCGATAACCGTCCTCTGATGAAGAACTGTTTCCCCAGTGCTCTGTGTACTATCTCCGTACCCGGTGGTCTATGCACCAGGTGGGCTGTCACAGGAGGGCTCCAGCTCCACCTCCAGGTGCATGCTGGACATCCAGCAGTGCTCTTCCATGTCACCACTGTAAACAGAAACGGAGGCCGGACAAGGCTCCTGTGCCCATCCTTGCTAAAGTGGTTTTACTCAGGAGCTCTGCAGTCTGGGACCACACCGGAGGCTGCTCAAACATGCGACAGCGCCTCCACAGCGGTTACACAAGAGCAGGCACGCTGGGACCACAGTTCTGCACTAACCACAGGCCAGACAGAGCCTTTTTTTGTTTTCTGTTTTTTTGACACAGGGTTTCACTATGTGATTCAGGCTGGCCTCAAACTCACAGCGATCCTCCTGCCTCAGCCCCCCAAGTGCTGGGATTACAGGCAAGCGCCACCACGCCCGGCTCCAAGATAAATGTTTATAGCAACATCATTTATACCAAAGGATTGAAACTGGACCCAGGGATTTAGCTCAGTGGTTTCTGCCTGCCTAGCAAGTGCAAGGAGCTGAGTTTGATCCCTGGTTAAAAAAAAAAAAAAAAAAATTGATCCCTGGTAAAAAAAAAAAAAAAAAGACCCAAAGGATTGAAACTTAAATGTCTATCAGCTAACAAATGTATAAACAAAATGTTTACATCCATACAATGGAATAATATGCAGCCAGAGAAAGGGGTAAATATTATGGAAATTCGTACTGACATTTGCAAGATAAATCTTGAAAACTTATGCTAATTAAAAGAAGCTAGATACAGTACTCCATATATTATGTGTTCTATTCATACAAAATGCCCAGAAGAGGGAAATGTATTAAGACAGAAATGGACTGCTGGTTTCTGAGCTGTGGGAGAAAATGCCTAGAGTGTCCAATACAGTAAAAAATGAATGAATATATAAACAAAGCCTCCAAGACAACAAAATCTGATCATCTGGTGTGGGGGCACAGGCCTGTAATTCTAGCATTTGGGAGGCTGAGGCAGGAGGATCACTCCAAAGCCAGCCTGAGCTACATGATGAATTTGAGGCCAGTGTGAAATACAGTCCCTGTCTCAAAAAGCAAAAAACATCAAGAAAGAAAGTGGGGGGAGGGCTGAATTTTTCTTCCTGGTACTGGGGACTGAACCCAGGACTTTTGCACCAAGTTATATCCTCAGACTTTTTTTTTTTTTTTTTTTTTTTTTTTTTGATCTTGGGTGTTTTGTTTTTTCAAAATT